TTTAGTTGTGTCTTCTGTCATGGTAGTTGCTGGTTCGTCTGCGTTATTTTCCTCGCCGCCATTCTGTGTTTATTCCTCCAGCTTCCTGGTCATTCTCCCTGCAAGGTACCCTCGTTAGTGTTCTGGTTTCGTGTTTAGTTTAGTTTTCCCAGTTTAGAGTTATTACCGTTCTGTTTCTCGCCACCCCTTTTGTTGTTCTTATCCGGTTGTAAATAAAGCTCATCCTCCACTTAAGCAGTCTGCATTTTGGGTCCTATTTCATATTCCACACGGCTTGCCCCGGCAAACCGTGACAATTACACTAAACAATTTATTGTATAAGTAAATAAAGTGTAGGTTAGGTCACTCCTGTGAAAAGATGCATACAAACCGATGAATCACAAAAGATAGAACGTCAACTTACAGTATGCCTTTTCATATTATATGCTTGCTTATCTTCATTTTCTAATAGTAGATGGGAACTTATGCAGTAAAGCAATGGCTTACAACACAGTGGACTGTGCAGTGGACTAATGCATACATTTAAAGCCTGACAGCAGCTGGTATATACACAGCTACAACAGTCTACAAAGGTTGTTTTCTGTCCACCAAAGCAAATATGATTGAAGAGATTTTTTCACTTCCCCAAAAAGGAAATAAAGAGATTAAACAAGGATTTATTGAACAATGGTTTATGCACTTGAATTAGGAAGGATAAGAAAAGTGACTCTATTGACTGCAATCTGCAATCTACTGACATCTAATGGTAAGATTTTACACACTGTAACTTTAATGATACTTGAAAATAGGCCAGGAACTCCACTCCTTGATCTGAACCTGTTCGGTCAGCACACACAGTCTGTGTAATATGTGAATAATAATAAATATGACTTTTCCTCTCTTTTCCATAAAAAGTTCCCAGTAGGGTTTTTGACCTTTGGCACCATGGAGCTGTGGGCTTTAAAAAAAAAGTCTTCCACACTGTACCCTGTAATTACTGTACTTCTAATTTCTGAAAGAATACTCTAAAGCATCTTCTAATACTTCAAAATCTATTTGGGTGGTTTGGACACGACAATGATTAACTGAAGTATAAAAGTATGCGCTCCAAGGTTCATGTTGGGGCCTTTGGGGTCAGGAGCAAATTAGATTTAGTTGCTTTCTGTGGCAAATTAATTCATTTTATCACCAGAAATAACAAATATTTCCATAATTAACACACTTCATATTGTGTGACGACTACAGTCAGATATCTGCAGGGATGTCTCACGTGCTCACTGCAGTTAAAGTAGTGTTAGTAAAAATATTAAGACACAAATGGCAGTTCTACTTTTTAAAAAGGCCTAATGACTAAAATCAGGTAGCTTAGTTACACCTGCTCAACTGCTCATTAAGAGAAATATCTAATCAGCCAGTCACATGGCTGCAAATCGGTGTATTTACAGTAGGCATGCAGACATAGTCATGATGACCCTCCGAAAGTCAAACTTAGCATCAGAATGGTGCAAAGGAAAGGTGATTGAAGTGACTTTGAACGTGGCGTGGCTGCGGTTGCGAAATGGTTTGATCTGAGTATTTCAGAAACTGCTGATCTACTGGGTGGGATTTCCCCACACAACCATCTCTGGAGGTGAAGGACAAAAGAAGAAGTAGCAAGCCTGAGAATAGAATGGGAGGGAGAGCCTTCAGTTTTCAGGCCCCTCTTCTGTGGAACCAGCTTCCAGTTTGGATTCGGGAGACAGACACTATCTCTACTTTTAAGATTAGGCTTAAAACTTTCCTTTTTGCTAAAGCATATAGTTAGGGCTGGACCAGGTGACCCTGAATCCTCCCTTAGTTATGCTGCAATAGACGTAGGCTGCCGGGGGATTCCCATGATGCATTGAGTTTTTCCTTTCCAGTCACCTTTCTCACTCACTATGTATTAACAGACCTCTCTGCATTGAATCATATCTGTTATTAACCTCTGTCTCTCTTCCACAGCATGTCTTTATCCTGTCTTCCTTCTCTCACCCCAACCGGTCGCAGCAGATGGCCCCGCCCCTCCCTGAGCCTGGTTCTGCCGGAGGTTTCTTCCTGTTAAAAGGGAGTTTTTCCTTCCCACTGTCGCCAAAGTGCTTGCTCATAGGGGGTCATATGATTGTTGGGTTTTTCTCTGCATCTATGAAGCGCCTTGAGGCGACTTTTGTTGTGATTTGGCGCTATATAAATAAAATTGAATTGAATTGAATATAGCTAAAAACACATCTGAGAGCTTACTGCGAACTTGCACGAAGATGAAAATCAGACTTTTGCCTGTACTGCCATTGACTTTTTATGACTTAACCTCCTTACTTTGTTTCTTAACTGTTAACCCTTTTATGCATGAATTATGACAACCTCAATCTGGATTTTTTTCTTAAGTTTTTTATTCATCTTTAGGCATGAAAAAAAGATTTTTGAACTTCATTTTTTTAAACATGCACTTTTCAAAGAGTTTTTTACATGTCCACTTAGGTGGACAACATACATTTTGAGTGGGTGGCACGGTATGGAGTGACACATCAGTGTCCAATCTAGTGGTTCATGTGCAAGTATACCATTAGCAATGTGTTTTTTTGTACTATGATACATCTGTACTCTGCATACTGCAACAGAGCACTGATCTTTCCTGTCATTTCACATTGACTGTGTTTGGAGTGCAATATAAGATTTTCCATTTATATTATGTGAGACAGTGATCCACGCCTTTGTTAGCACTCGGCTGGATTACTGTAATGCACTTTATATAGGGGTCAGTGCATTATATATTAGTCACCTACAGAGGGTGCAAAATGCCGCAGCTCGTCTTTTAACTGGCACTCGAAAGTTTGAGCACATTTCCCCTGTTTTAGCTTCACTTCACTGGCTGCCCATTTCTTTTAGGATTCATTTTAAAATTCTTTTATTTACTTTTAAAGCTCTCCATGGCCTCGCCCCATCTTATCTCTCTGAGCTGCTACAGCCTTATACACCCACCCGCTCTCTCAGGTCAGCTGATCAGCTGCTCCTGAAGATACCCAGGACTGGGCGTAAACTTAGAGGAGATCGTGCTTTTGCTGTAGCAGCTCCCAAACTGTGGAATGAGCTTCCTTTAGAGATTAGACAGGCCACTTCTTTACCTGTTTTTAAGTCACTCTTGAAAACCCACCTCTTTACTTTGGCCTTTGACACCACGTGAGATGTTGGTTTTTATATTTATTTTTATTTTATTTTAGTTGTTTTTAGGTGACTCGATGCTGTTTTATCTTGTTTTGTTTTTTAACATAGGGCTGTTTTAATTTTAATTTTATGTCTTATGTGATTTATTTATTTAATTTGCTGTTTAACTTACTTTCTGTACAGCACTTTGTTCCTGTGCTGGGTATTTTAAAGTGCTTTATAAATAAAATTGGATTGGATTGGATTGGATTATGTTCCATACTTAACCTTTTTCGAGACTTTTATGTTGTTAGGCAGGATGTTAAGCAGGATCATGGCATCACATAGGTGTTAAAAATACACAGTGGCTGATTTTCATGTAAACAAATAAAAAAAAAACATTCTGATGAAGAGCCACTAAAGGAAGTTCTTGGAGTAACCCTCAGCAGTAATTTGGACATGAAACAGTTAGTAGATATGTTATTAACCCTATGAGGAAATCTTTAATTCTACTGAGAAGACCATGTAGACCAGTTTCTAATTTCCACAAACAAAGTTCATTCCTTCAGACTTGAAAATGTTGAAGTAGCATCATGATAAACACTTCTCTCCACACTTGTCACCTTGGTAAATCAAGGCAAGCCTTGAAAGAGTCTCATATTTCAGTCCCAACACTCATTTAGCAGAGCACAAAGAGAGTTTCTGGGAAAAGTTATCAGAGGCATAGATCTGTGTGGGCAGTATAGGGGTGTGAGTCTGAAGCTGAATGCGATTAGATTAAATGTTCTTGATGGCTTATGCATAAAGGCATGAAGACTGTTGCTGAATGTTGACCTCTTGTTGGCGCCACAACATCAGTGAGCTGCACAGATTTTACCTACACCACTAAAATTTACTTACTCCAACTGAATCACAAACTTTTTGGATGCCTGTGTCACATTGCAAGCCATTAAAAATGAACCAAAAGACCAATATTGATGGTAACAGAGGAGAGAAAACAGAGATTGGCACCCTGACGTTGTTTCTCCTGGTTTAGAGAATGCACAATAGGGGGGAGGTGCCCTGCTATTAGCTTTTCTGTTACAACCCATCCCTGTTCTTATTTAGAGGCAGATATGCCTGGTTATGATTCAAGAGGAATGCCAGAATCCACACCATGTGAGTGAAGTATGCCTCAAGGCTACTGCGGAGCCAGTGCCTCTTTGGTACAGAATATAGTCTGAGCTGCCAATCCAGTTTTGCCTATTACATTTGATTTTCTCCTCTTTACACACAAACAGTCACACTGACTTCGTGCATGTAGGTATTCACTTGAGCCAGGCTGACATTTCAATGTCACAGAAATATTCATCAGATCACAGCATCAGCTCTTGTGTTTATATAAGTCATCCCAGTAGAATACAACTAGAAATCACAAGGCTGTGTTCTGTTTGATTTTCTGGAAAAAAAAATAAAAAAGTAGTACACATTATGTGGTCCGGGGTTTACTGTTCAAATTTGGAGAGAGGGGCGAACTAAAGATAATAGAGGCATGAAGAATCAGCGGATTAACTGGGACAGCCTGAGCCCATCAAAGTGCCCTTGAGCAAAGTGCTGCAAGTGTTAATTATTCCAGTGAAGCAGCTCAAGAAGCAGCAGTAGACAATATAGCTGGCACTGGCAAATTTAGGTGTCAGTGTTTGCAAATGTATGAATGTGAAAATGGGAAGAGGTGAAGGGAAGATGACGCGCTCAGCAAAACTTGCCTTCGACAAGCAGCCTATGAAAATCACTAATATGAAAATGAATCTTCGTGGCATTCCTCTGCAGAGGGGTCGAATAGTGAATCAGCATGTAAGCGTAGTGCCGATTATTTTTCTTACCTATCAGCGCCAGGTTTGGCAGTTTTCCCAGGCTCTTGCCTTTGTCCAGCACTCGCTCCCACTTGTAGCTAATGGGGTCTGAACCATCGCTGGATTTGCAGCTCAGCTTGACATCACTGCCCTCTTGGAGCTTGCCATCCATCCGGCATCTCGGCTTGGAAGGCTTGACTGCAAGAAAACAAAAGAATCAAAAAATGCTTGAATCAATATTTGCAACAAAACTTCTTATCGCAGTTAAACATAAAGTGTATAAAAGACTCACAGTGTTTAACAAATTTACTAGACCACATGCCATAAAAACAAGAACACACTAAAACTGTCATCTTTCAAAAACTTGTTTAAAGCTAAGACGCATATAACAAACTGAATTCATGTTTTTAAATCCAAATCTCAGCCAGCACACTGGACTTCTCCAAGAAGTTCAGAAATAAATCAATCACTACAATTAATGTTTCTGTTCACAAATGTAAGTAAATGACTGTAAATTAGCATCTCAACCAAAGGAAATAATGTGCTTTATTTTATCCTGCTTTTTCATAAGTAAAACAGTGAATCTTAAAAATCATGGATAACAACATAAAATATATTTAGCAATAAAAATGTCAATTAAACAGCTTGCACATGCATACAACCATTACAGGAACATCAATAATTATTTTATAATTACATTGCTGCTAATTTAAGGCAGTTGTGACATAAACCTTACACTGCATGGTGGTCTAGTGAATTCGTTAAGCAGCATATATATTAATACAATAATTAAGCAAAAATAAATGCGTTCACCGAAATGATTAATTTTTAATATGTGCATATAATGTAGTCATCAATTTGCCAGAGACGCATGCATTAAAATATGGTTTCCATTACTACTCTGCAGAAAATCGTGGCCTACGTGTATCATGTGGGCTTGCCACAATATTTCCTATGCCAATTATAGGAACTTTGCATTTCATAAAATGCACCTTTATTTTGAAAGGGAAGGGCTGACATTTTTTATTATGAATGCTGAATATTGAGTTATGTTTGAAATAGACTTCTTTGAACATAACATCTACTGAAGCAGGAGTTATTTTATAATGTGAAACTGTCCACCACCTGTGTTTATCGCCCCAGACTAAAGCACTACATTAAAATGAAAAGCAAAGAAATAAAATGTAGATAATAACATAGCTTGTTAGGTTGCATAAAGCTGAAATATTTGACGTAGATTGTAAACTTTATTTGATTTGTTCTATCAGTATTTTTTATTGGTGCAACTGTTTGAGGGATGTTCAGTTACCTTGCCATCACAGTCATTTCTGGTAACACAAATTGAAGAAAAAAGCAACATCCTCCCGTAGAGAATGGATCAATTCAACCCCAAGGCTGGCTGTGAATACTTATGGTAATATGTTCTCATGTCAAAGGTTTTGGTCATAGTCTATTAGCTAAAGGCTTAATACAGTACAGCTAGAATCTGCTGAGCCCTGCTCTGTTGGATACATGCTGAAAGGCACTGCTACACTTTAAAAGCATGAAAATAGCATACTGTTTCCCCCTCCCGAGTGACATATTTTTAAATCAGTGGTGAGCTAAATTTAAATATCTATTTTTTATTTTTGTCACGCTGACATATTTCCAATGCTGACTTTTGTGTTTGGCTTAGGATGCTTGTCAGTGAAGTTGCAGCAGTAGTAACTGCGAAATGCTAACATAGATTGAATTAACAGTAGCCAGTGGAGAGAAAAAAAAATCAGATAGCTTATGTGCATTTCTCCCTTTGTTTGTCTTTCTTTTCTCGACACCCTGCAGGCTGTATTCTGCTCACAGACTTTGTAAAGAATATAATGAGAGAAGCTGATCAGGGAGCATTGATGCATTCGTCTGTGCGTCTCTGAGCTCTGTCGGGGTCGGTTAAGCCAAACTGCAGAAGGAGCAGTTGGACGGCGTAACCTCAGCTCATAACCCCAATACTAATAAACACAATATATACACGTTTAAAATCTTCACATGCAAATCCACACGCTCATTCAGGCGTGATTGTGCAAACTTGCACAGAAACATACCCGACCACTGGAGAAGCGCACAAACTATGGCACACACACACGCTGTCTCATGCCAAGCCAGCTACCAGCTCAGCTGCCAAGCCATTATCTTAGCGTAGGGAGCGCGAGAAAAAAATGCAAATGTTCGCCTCTCTCAAAATCGAAAGTGTCACTGGGAAGCTGAGGGCAATTTGTAAAATTCGAGGCACTAACTCACTGAAATGTCTTTATGGAAGAGAGAGGGGAGTGAGAGCGAAAGGATTAACAGACTGTTCCATTAGAAAACCAATAACCACGGGTTGAACTAATCTCCCATGATGTTTTAATAAATCGCATGCTTTTTTGACATTGAGAACGATCTCACTCCTCCCGCCGGACTTTGTGGCCAGCTATTGCAGCTGTCTGTCCTTCATAGTTGTTCAGCTATTTCTGATATGCAGACAGAGAAGCGCATTACCACTGAGGTAGTTGTATTGTTGAGTCATTTATAGCCATCTGCATAATGTGCAAATTAGAACAACACGCTTCCCGTACCAAAATGGGATTTTCTGTATTTATAAGATCTAAGAGTCACTTGGGCAATTAATATTTCTAAGTAGCTTATCTGTACTTAAACTGATGTAAGCTAACTTTTTAACATGATGAACATCAAACTGGTCTGTTGTCTTGTACTGTATATGTCATAGAGGACACAAGTACATTAGAATCTAGCTTGAAATTTGCCCATGTAATGCAGTCTCTAACTCAATCATTTCTGTGCCCTGCCAAACCTACTTGCATGTTTCTGGTCTCACCTCATCAACAAACCAATCCAAACGGACCCAAACAGCACGAACAAAATCAAATCACACTGTCTGAATCAAATTGAATCATTAGATCAGTCAGCATGACAGAGGAAATGTGCCAGGCTAATGATCCAGTGATTAGGTCTGTGTGTGTAAGAAGTGTGTGTATGTGTGTTTGTGTATGAGGATTTTCCATGTACAAATGAATTTCTTCATAACCCGATGGTATGCGCACGTGCATTGATGTATCCACACTTACCCAATACAATGAGGTTGACTTGGCTCCAGTGGTACTTTCCCCCACTCTTGACTTTACAGTAGTACTCCCCCGTGTCGCTCAGCAGCAGGTCACTGATGAGTAGGGAGGCGTCTCCACCCAGGTACTCCCCAGCAAAGGACAGATGGTTTGGCTCAGTATCCATGGGGTCACTGATGTACACGTTTCCCCCAAAGAAGGTAATAATCTAGATGTGGAGAAAGAAAAGATAATCAAGGATTTAGTTCAGACCAGAGACTGTTGTCTGAAATGAAATTTCTGGCACAAGTGAAAAAACTCCTGATGTATTACAGCGAGGGATTGACTGATTCATAATTGCTCCGGTTCTACTTATCTTGATTCTATCTTTCTTTTGAAGGAATTCTCCCATTTCTTCCTGGACCTGGTACTAACATTTTAGCAGCTGGTGATGTCATTTCTTAACTGATTTATGCAAGTAATTCCCCAAATAAGATTTTCATCTCTTAACAGCACATTTGGTTCGCTTAATTCCTATGTCCCAACAGTATTACCCTTGATATATTTCACTGGTAGGCTGCCATTTACATTTTAAATAACATGACTCTAATGGCTGTGTATGCTCAGTTAAGACAGTTCCACGTAGTTCCTCTCTGGAGGCACAGTCTTGAGAAAAACAGAATACCAGCACTCATGGGTAACATTGTTAACAATCACTTTTTAATTAACACTTGGGAAATAATATTTTACAAATGAATGCATTTGCTGGAATGCCAGTATCCTGCCAGTGTTCATTTAGCTGATTATCTGTGAGTGTTGTTATCTCTTTATGGTGTTTCCACAAATAAAGCTGTCAAATGAAAAAGAAAAAAACCCCACAACACCCTCCCAAACAATTCTATTTTATTATTCTGGCCCTAAGATAAAAGATTAAAGTGCACACAGTGGCACTAAAAGTGATGTCACCAGAAAACAACTTCAGAAACAGCAAAGTACATAATATCATACAGATGATACAAAATGGCTATAGAATGACACTTTTGTAACTCCCCTTTTCAAAGGATATACAAATAAAACTGAAAAGAAAAATGTAAAAAAAAAATAATGGAAAAGGTAAAAATCAGCTTTTAGGCCATTTTAGTCAGATTATGATCAGGCTTGGCTTAAAGCTTCAAACACCATAATTCTCAATGATTAGTCCCTTTTAAATGAAATGGTTCTTATATAGTGCTTTTCTACTCTACTTGAGCACACAAAGCGCTTTATACAGCATACCTCATTCAGCCACTCACACCAGCACTTTCTTTTATGCTTTAGTACTTTCATTCACACACATTCACACTCCAATGGCTGCATTGGAGAGCAACATGGAGTTAGAATCTTGCCCAAAGATCTTTGGCATGCAGACTGGAGCTGCCAGTTCTCAAATGGCCAACCTTCTGATTAGTAGATGACCTGCTCTACTTCTTGAGCTAAGGTAGAAAGGTAAATCCCCTCAGAAAAAATGCTTGCGAGTCACACAGCTTCACTCACCACCCCCACTACCAGTATCACATAAACCAGTGAGTTTGTGTATGCTACTGCCACTGTAATCATAGAAACATTTGGTTATAAGCTCAAGAATATGTGCAGAGCGTGCCTGTGGAGGAAGCCCAGAAGGATATTGGCTATTACAGTTGGCTATCAGAGCTGGAGATAGGCATCATCACAGAGATCAGATATCCATAACAGGATAACAATGTGTTCATAACAGAGCTTCTACAAAGTACCAAACAAAGGCTCATAACACTGGCTATTAGGCTAAAGGGATACACAACCAGAGAGAATAAATGGCTTGTTCTCCAAAGACCTATCCAAGGTGTTTTCCCAGCTGCAACCATAACACCTTGGATAGGCAACAATGGGACAAGGACGGATCTCACCACAGCTGAGACTGAGTAAGAGCAAGGATGTGGTGTCATAAAGCCTCCAACTCCAAGTGGCTGGTGGACCTAAGAGCAGACCACAGCAACCTCTCAGAACAAAATCAATGACAAAGGCCAACAAAATAGCTGGGCAGTACCTCACACGACTCATGCCTGTTAGTTTAAGAAGCTTACAGCACTCCAGAACACGTGGCAGCATAAATAACTGGGGTGCTAACAACAGGTGCTAACATAGGGCAGGACAATCCTGATCACAAAGGTTTTGTGCCCCATAAGGGCACAAAGCTGTTGAGCACCTAGCTGATTACCTGCTTCTCTGCAACATGAAAGCTCAGGTAAATGTAAAAAACTTTTACATAAATAAAACATGTGCTACATGAAAGACCATAAGATGTAGTTACTAGTCATCACATAAGCAAATCTCATAAAGTCATTGGAAGCAACAGAGCACCAGCTACTTGACACGGCAGAACACCAGGACTCCAAGACCAGGCAGATCAACCTGAGCACCTGCTGTTCTGACTACAAGAAAGAGTATGAACCGGCACCCCACACTTACACAGTGGAGTGCTGGACTCAACACACTGATAACCTTAATCGGAAATTCCTTGTAGGTACACAAAAAGATGTTGTTGTTAGAGCCTGCGATTGACATAATCTGTTTGATTCTCCCTTTTTTTCCTTCTATTTACCACCAAGGTTCATTGATGTTTGCAGACACTGGGTGTTCAAAGGAAAAAAAATGAGCTAATTTGAAGTTTGTAGCATCTGTAAACCTGCACCAGAAAGCTTTCATTTTCTCTTCCCTGGCTGTTTACAGTTTGTCTTTGTTTATTTCTAGCCTTTCCTTGTGTGTCTTTTGCTCTCTCACGCTCTTGCTTTATCCACACACACAAACAGAAACAAACACAGCTGTCACAGTGGCCTATTACTCAGGGCAAGTGAGAGCCTGCAGATGGGGACCGCTAAATGCTGGTGCCACAGCGCATCAGTGCCTAAGAAGCAGGGGCACCTGCTGTGATCACAGGTGATGACTGGCCATTTACACACACACGTATATACCCAAACCTACTCACAAACTTGCCGTTTACCAAACATGTGGCACACCATGAATGCAAACAGAAACATATCACTGTGCCACAGCTACACACAGAAAGTAACCAGGCTCTAACACCAAAACAAAAAAGGGCATACCTGTACCTGTCCTGTGGGCATGCAACTGTTGCCTTCATGAAATCAGAACATTAATTACTCACAAAGCAAACTACATGTGTATATGTGTTTTTGCTTCTGGTAATGTCTGTACTGTCTGTTAGTGAATTGTTCTATTAAGGCAAGGTGTTTTGTTGATTCAGTAAAATACTGTACACAGATAATTAAGTGTCTCTGCTTTTTCACACAGGTCATGAAATGATGACAATGATGACAAAATGCAACCCCAAACCATGAAAAAGCTTCTTCTGTTTTACAGATGGCTGTAGACACTCACTCTTGTACTGTTCTCTTGACTTTCCCCATGCTTACTGTGGACAGTTTGAAGCAAACATTGACATGCTTCAGTCTTTTCTCCTTGTTTCCTTTCAAATGACTTAATGACAGCCACTCGTCTAGTTTCCTCAAATGCTTTTAAGGCAATTCTGTACATGATGAGGAGATTTGGAAAGCTTTCAGCTAATAAAGCTTTGGGAATCACCCTGTTGGTGCAAAAATACAGTTTGGCAGAATTTCTGCATGTGAATGTCGCACACTTTTCATAGGTTTAAGTATATAAATGGAAACAAATGATGTGTTTTTAGTTTCTTTGCTAAGTTGTCTGTTATGTGCAGATGCAACATTCTTGAGTCAGGCGCCTGTTTTATGCTTAACAAACAAAAAGCATAATTCTGAAAAAGGTACAAGGACTGGACTGAAAATGACTGAAACATGTCCAAAGAAAAACTTTGACCTTCAGAAGGCCTGGAGAAAGTCTGGCTCCTTGGAAGCAAACTATAAAGACATGAGGGGTGGCTCAAAACCTTTGCACAGCACAATATATAATTTTTTATATCACATCATTTTATCAAAAATATTAACACAGTAGAATTGCTGCTCTGATCAAAGCAGCTTGTTAAAGATTACTGGAAGCAGATTATATGAACAGTGTGGCTAACATTCAAATATTTAAGCTGTTCGGTTTTTAAAGTGTTTTCCATAAATAATTTTATAGTCAATGAAGAATACACAGAGGAAACAATTATACAACAATGACTCTGTCATTTTACTCTACTACTAATATATTTATCATCTCTGTGGACGATAATTGTCCTCACAATAATGCCAGTTCAATATCTTCAGTTTTACATGCTGAAGGGCAGCAATTATGCATAGCAAATAGCAACAACACACAATACGCACTAACTAACGTGGCACTGTGGCAGGAGCAATTTCCCAAGAAAGGATGGAAATGAAATTAATAGCTTCATCTTTATTAACCATCGCTGGTCTTTGCTGAAACTACACTATGATAGGCTATAAAATGCCGTCCTTGAGTAACTCTGATCATCTAAGACCAACACAGCTGAGAACAGTGAGAGAAGGGCAGTTTTTTTTGTTTTTACTCTTCATCTGACTAAATGGAGTTGAATTTTGTGCCCCTCAGTGTCTTAAACACATGTAGCCTGTACATTTGCTAACAGAGGCTAAATGTTGACAAGATGCTCTTTCCATCTCAACACGGCCTTCGAGCAGAACAAAAGAATGATTTATTCATTCGGCTACAGGCGTAGTCTCTTTCCTAATCAAATTTTCAAACGTTTGATTTTAATTAATGGTGCCTTCAATGTTATCCTCCCGTTAAATATTCATCGCAATGTGGCAGCCCCAGTCTGAATAATCAAAGTGTAAGCCACCAGTTTCCCCCTTTCTTTCATTCCTAGCCCCGCCGCTTCCCTTCCACTCTTTGCTATTCATTCCTTTCTCTGTGCCAACGCAAGAGCGCATGAAGAAATGGGTTCAGAAGAAAATGGAAGTCCCTTCCTTCCAACAGAATGCTGTTGAGATGTTTTGCTCTCTCGCGCTCTCTTATCAGATTCTAAGCTCAATTTGGGTGAAAAAAAAATGGCGGTTTTTCAAACACCAGTGAAATTATACCAGAATGTTATCAAAGGCTTTAAAAAACAAAACCAAATTAGCCGTTTAAAGATTTCAGTTATCCTCCTGGTTCAGGCTGATAGACTTTATGAAGCCAGAATTAGAATATATTATTGTGCCAACTAAAACTTTAAAATGCAAACAAGGGGAATTTTTTTTTTATAAATGCTGTAATTCCTTTACAGTTAATGCAATACTTTTTGTAAAGCTGAAACTGCACTTAAAGCACACCTTGACTGCTTGATTTAAAATTCAGTGTGACTGCACACAAAGGGGGGAAAAAAACTTAAACCTTTAAAAACTTTAAAATGAAGGAATTTTCTTTATTTCGTTTAACAGATGTTTTCCTTTTTTAAAGCATTGAATTTTACTATTTCCAGAAAAAGCCCGTACACTTCTGCAAAAACAAAACAAGAAAAGAAGCAAAAAACTAACAAAGTACTTTATGTCCTTGCCCCAAAACGTTTGGACATATTTGCCAGAATGTCTTTATACCCACAGTGTACGATTATTGCATTTACCTGACTGCTGATTTCGACTACTTTTCAGAGAGTTCTCATGTATGATCTGTTTTGAGACCGCTTCCTGTCAACCTTGCCAATTCTGCTTGCGTCCCTGAATGCCTGATTGCACGTGAGCCCTTGTATGCTTATTAAATAGTAGATTTTGAACCTGATTCTGTTGTTTGGTCTAATTTCTGATTTCAATTCCTTTTGGGGTGGAAGTTTGCTTCAGCTGTAATCTTCAATTGTCTCTATAATTACATATTTTACAAAACTAAGATGAATTTGTCAGCTTGATAGTAATGAAAAGGTCATTAGGTTTGTTTTTTATTTCCACTTGTTACAGTGTTTATCTCCCACCAGTTAAAAAAGTTGAAAGTAAAAGTGCCAAGGTTAGAAATATATAATGTGTTGGTGAACACAATTGCTCCTTTGTGAATGCCACTGAAAGTTGAAGTGCCTTAGTAATTTTGGGATTGTGTTAATGTGCAACTATTATAGGTCCTGCTGGAAATCAGCGAGCGTAACCCAAATGGAGAAAAGCTAAAATGTTTTTTGTGTGTGAAAAGGGGAAGTGGAAAGAAAGGGAGAAAAGAAAAACTATCCAAGGTATATACAGTCTATACATATACCTCACATGTTGTTCTTCTGTTTTTTAGCCTAAATGTCACTGTCATTGCCATTTCATCCCAGTAAAGGTCAGTCTTGGTGTTGCAATAACTTTGCAGCAACTACTAAATATTACCCAAGTCATGGCAGAGTACGACGGCAGGGAACCTTTAACAATTCAGATGCTTCTAAATTGTATTAAATGCAGGGAAAAAAGGAATACAATCTTACCACTTTCTGTGGGGAGTTTGGTTTCTGCAGTAGCCACTCAATGTCAAGAGGGACGGATGATGAGAACTGGTGGTGGCATGGCAAGGTGGCATTGTCCCCAACGACCTTTTTCATCTCTGTCTGGGCCCCCACTGACAGAAGGCTAACTAGAACTGAGGGAGAACAAGAGAAAGAGAGAGAGAGAGAGAAAAAAAAAACTTGAGACAGAGGTAGAGACATGTCAAACGGGGTCACTAGCTCGATCTAAGCTTGAGGCATGAGACAGATGCTGTGGACAGGAAGCGAAACCACAATGATAGAGGAAACCGGGTGCGAGGATACATCCAAATATTGAAGGGAGACAGAACAGATGGATTCTGTTCAGAGGGAATAAAGTTTGATTGAGGAGTTGAAGGAAAAATACTAAGAAAAGCTATTCACAGCTGCAGTTTGGGGGAATTATGGATGGGTACTGTGCCGACACATCTGACACATGGACAATTCTGCCAGAAAACCCCGAAAAGATACAATTAATGAGTCACTTCCATTGCAAAAAAGTCCAAAAGCTATCCCAGGCCACCTTCCCATTAACAGTGAATGTCAGTATGGGAACTATTTTAAGTCCCAACCGCACAGAAAACGCACATACCAAAAACTCCCACTGTCGACTCAGTTAAGACCGACAGTTGCAGTAAAAGGTAGCAGTAATTGCGAGCGTGTGCAAGTGAGTGACTCTGGGCACTGGCCAGACTAGTGTGGCCTGCGTATCAGTGGGGGAGCAGCAGGGCTAATTTATTGGAGGATGCTGGACAGCCTAGAGGGCTTGAATGGAATTAGCCAGAGGCGTCACAGGGGATGCTGGGAAAGTGAAACTGTGGATAGTGTTTGTGCGTGCTCGCGTTCGTGCATGTGCTGGACTGTGTGTGTCAAGAAGCAGTGGTGCAATGGTGAGATATGTTTAGAAAGACTGCAGAGGTCGACTGTGCTTACGCACTCACGTGTGACGTACAGTTTTGGCCCTGCTATATTCATCTTAACTACCTGCCTTTAATTTAAGTGTGCTGTGCTGAATAATCATATAGCTCCAGGGGAATTTGACTGCTTGGAATTAAAGTTATCCTGCCTAACAGATGCTCATTTGAAGTGAAATGTTCAGACTGTGTAAATATTGTTGCTCCTATTCATTATCATGCCACCTTACTAGACACTCAACATGGCCTGCTGTTTGAACAGAATAAATAAACGTAGTGTGGGACACACATCTGAATGAAAGCTGTGCACTTTGTTTTGTCTGTTATGCTGATACTGACTGACAGAATAGTTTTGTGTTTAGAATATAACCTCATATACGTTCCACGGGAAGCCATGTGAGTGCATCAGCGCTTACTGGGCGCCTGTCCACTTGTGAACCGGTTCACCCTCATAGGAGCTAACGCCCTATCCCATAAGTGATCTCAGGGCCAATGAAAATGTCAGCTCAGCGCTGATACAGCACACAAAGAGATGAAGAGTAACCTCACAGAAACTAATTCTCCTTAAAGAGCTTCATCCTTGCTGAGATGACGTCATCTGCTTGAGTTCAGTTGCTCTTCAAGTTTTGATTAAAGGTTGTGCGCATCGGCGGCGGTGTTAAGAAACCCCCCCCCCCCCGATGGGGAAGTGATTAACACTGAACATCTTGGGAGGATGCAGTGCTTTCCTAACGAAACCATGGGTTCAGGCGTTCACAGAGGCAGCACAAAGAGGGACAACACAGTTTTAAGCTAGAGGCTTTTATGCTGTGGTTTGTGTACAGATTATTCCTAATTTTTTTGATTTTTTTCTGAGACTTGTGCCACAATTCCTAGGTGTGTATTGTAGCTTCTCTGTTCCATGTTTTAATGGCCAGAGAGACATGTATATTAACGGATCTAGGACCTTTCTGTGATTATAAAAAGACTAGAAAGTACTTGTTCCTCTTTCCTCCAGTAACCAAAGACATGCTTATTTGGTTAACTGGTGGTTTCACATTTTGGTAGTCTCAGTTTGGTAGCCCGTCACTTTTTCACGCCTTTAGCTGACGTCAGCCAGGTTATGCTTCACTCCTGACTACCCTAAGTAGGGAAAGAAGTTAAGAAAAAGATGAATGAGAGGCTGGATAGAAAGTAACCTCCAAAGCCACTTTATATGCAAACCTAAGCGTTTAGCAGAAGTTAGTCTTTCCACTTTTTCTCCAGTGAAAAACCACAAAGAAAGGTACAAGACCACATATGACACAACTTTTTCCTAAGATAGATTCATGCCTGTTGCTAAAGGGCTTCACCGGGGTTCTTGGTTAGGTTTGTTTTGCTCTGAGAAACTGATGCTCTAGTGTGCCATCCAGTGGCAATAAAAGCTTGTGCACAGTGTGAATCCTCAACATTATGTCTTGATTTTCCGAGTCCCACATTCTAAACTTAAGATTTGGGCTACTTGTTGCCAGTTAAATGTAAAGTTTCCAATTGGAATTTGCCATTTGGAGGAACAAAGAGAGGGAATTGAAAGTACTTTGTGGCTGGCTGAGAGCTTCTGTGTCCCTTTGGCACCCGAGGAGCAACAGGACAAATTGCTGAGGTCCTTCTGCTCTGCTTGCCCACCTGCCCAGTTCAAATCATTAGTCAGCAGAAAAGGATGGGCCACCCCTCCTCACAGAGAAGCTTCTGCACCTTAAGGGTATCCCCTTTCATGACTTTTTAATGCAGCATTTGCAGGGGTTATTCATCTTGTTAGCCTCCCTGCTGATATTGCTTTGAATGTCAGAAAAGAGAGTGAGGGCTTTGCAGCATTAGAAAATATTCAAGAGGAAGAAAGTTCAGGCCATGTGTGAATGCACAGCTGGTTGAGCTTAATGGTTCGAGTTAATGCTTGATGGTGGTACAGGGTCTGCTGGGAGACCTGTGCCCACTCCCCTCCTCAGGCTAGCCTCTGTAATCGGTGCTCCCACAGTCATCAGCAGCCTGGGGCTGAACCCGGCACTGTGTAGCTGGCCTGATAAGAGCTTTGTGCTTCCCTCCTCGCCTCCCACCTCATCCTTAACTGCCCACCGCTTCAGCTGTAGGCTCTGTAAATGGAAGAGTTCCCCTGAAAGATAGATAGGGCCAATGTGTCTGAAGAATGAGGGGAATTGCCATCTTTTCCCACACAAAGTACTTTACTTTTCATTAACTGTCTCTAAACTGACCTTCAAAAAAGCGACCTGTGTCAGCTCACTAACGTTGACTTGTGGGTGTTAAATATTCTCTTTATCATCAAACAGTAAAGTTTTCAGTTCCAGGTATTTAATTTATTCCTTAGAAATGAAAAAAAAAAGCAAATACCTAATATTTTTTTCCATCTGTGACAGAAAATATTTTTCATTTTTAACAGAAAGAATTGGCAGACAAATCAGATGGGGGTTTTTGGTCGATATGCAGTCCGTGCTACCCACTTTCCCATTTATTTATGGTCTTGCAGAGGGGCTTTTGTGCTGTGGAATGGATGACACAGTGCTCCCAAAATAAGCTTGCCTTGATGTGAGTTTGAGCTTGCATTTGGTTTGGCCTCATTCACCGTGTGCACAGCTGGGGTGGCTGGACTGCAAGACCCCATCATTTGTGTCAACATCAACACATCAGCTATGAGACACATCAGAATTAATCTCTGTGGCAGATTTGCAAACACTATGGAAATTCTGTTTGGCTTTGGTATGGGCTCGTGACCTTGGGCTTCAATTTGCAGCTAAGGTGACCCAGAAAGAATAATAAAAGAAAAGTGAGCCATATAACCTTCAGCTTCAGTAACATCCCTGGTCACAGCAGCGTGCATGCTTTCACGTGACCTTATAAGATTCCATAGGGGCATGGAAAAGACCATCTAAATAAACACTGTCTTCTTGAGGGGGAGATAAATGTGGTACGGGCTTGCGATATGTTGGCTTGTGCCATATCCCAAAGCATATCCTCTATCCCGCTTTCTCTCTATCTCTCTCTCTCTCTCATTATGCCTTCTTGTTACAGCTCTGCTTGGTTCAGTTTCGTGCCTCCATTTGTGACTGCGTTCGGTCTTCACGCACAGAAAGAAAGGAAGGAAAGAAGACGATCATAATTAACAAAAGTGGGAGCTAAAAGAGAGGGAGGTTTAGGGAGAGAGATTGTGAGTACAGGACACATTTGACAAAGAGAGCGAGAGTGAGAGGCTTGGGTGAAATATGGAGGAACCAATTTCTATGAAAAGACCCTAGGGGGAGTTGTGCTCCAGTAAATCCGCCTTACAGAGCCCTGCAATCTCATTATAGTGTAGCCAGCGAGACGGACAGACAGACAAACAAGACAGGCCCGGATCTTTCGCACTGCCCAAAGTCAAGCCCCATATCCCCTCAGTCAGCACATCAGCCTGGCTGGGGCCTTTGCCACGTCCGACGCTTATGACCTCTGGTACTCAAACATGGCACATCAGAAAGTGGGGGGAGGCGGGGTGGAGGGGTGTGGGACAGTGACAGGGCGGGGAGAAATAGCTTGAGGGAGGGGTGGAGGAATGGTGCAATGCCTTGATTTGACCACTTATGCTAGCTCAATCACTGGTGTGGATGAAGGATTATACCGTCACAAAGGTGGTTTTATACACAGGTTAGCATATGCACACACACCCTGCCCCTACAGACAGGAGGGACGGCTGGTTTATCTTTTTTGACAATTTCTGACAATTTCCTGCTGTGTGCATTCATGCTGATTTTCGTCATGTGCAAACATCTATATTTCATGTAAATTCCCAGCTGCCGGTGTATATGATTTATGCTGTATGTGGGTAGATACTCTTTCACAAAGACACCTCCACTCCAGATGCAAGGGACTATCTCGTGCTGACAGCAAATCAGCGCCTCAACATCAGGACCTATGATTTGGAATATCGCTACTTTACACATACAGACACAAGTCGCATTTGAGTTACATTTACAGCCTTACAGCAGCAGGGAAAAGCAACAATCATCTCCCAGTCCTGCCAATCTTTCCCACAACTGTTTATCTTCTGTCAAATAGAGACTCTGTTAAATACAGGGAGTGCAGAATTATTAGGCAAGTTGTATTTTTGAGGAATAATTTTATTATTGAACAACAACCATGTTCTCAATGAACCCAAAAAAC